CCATCCTGTCACTGGCCACCTCTCAATTCCGTCAATCAGTCGGGGGAACAAATCGAGTGAAGACCGCCAACTAACCATAAATACGCCAGAGCCGAAAAACAAATTAAATTAAGCGACGAGACAAAAGGCAGACTTGCAGCAATTTACAGAAAAACTGCCAACAAATCAAATTGCCATAAAACCAGGGGCAGCTTGAAAAAGGGGAAGGGGAAGGGTGTGGGGTGGCGAAAGGGGGCCAATTCCCGGGTTGACAATTGCGGTGGCGGTGGCGGCGGCAGCGGTGGCTGTGGCAGAGTAAATAATTTCGTCTTGGCCATAAAAAGGCTGTTTTTCAGTGGAGCAGGCCTGTCAATTGCCGGGAGATTGATGCCCCTGGATAATAGCGACGCGAACAATTTGCAGACGACAACACGCCGCAAAACCGAGGAGACAAACTTGGAGCTCCTTGGCCTGTTTGCCCCTGGCTTGGCTGAAAGCTAAACGAAACAAGAAAGAAAAACCAGCGACAGATGGAGACGCGACATCATCTCCAACGGTGGTCTGCGGCGACAACTGAATGACAACTCTTTAGGCCGTCCGCGCTAACGGGATCTCAGCTCTGAGCCGCGCAACTGAGCAAGTTATTTGCCCAAAAATGGCCAGGAACATTCGAAGTGTTGACATGGCTGCGACGGGTGACACAGGCGCATGCGTGACACCCCCAGGAGATGGATTAATACAGGCAAGGGTGGGGGAATGGGGGGGGGTGGGTCAAACTTATCTATCCGATATGGTAAACAATCCTCTGGCCCCACAGACATGGGACAAACTCCAGCCAGCTGTCCCAGCTCAATTAGCTATCAAGATCATCGCGACTTTGACTCCGCGAGATGGGAATTGTTAGCGGACAACAGCTGGATGGCTGGCTGGCTGGATGGCTAGATGGCTGGCTAGCTGCATAGACGAGGCTAAACAAAGGCCCCATTGTTCGGCCCTCCGGCAGGATGCAATAAAATGCAGGTGCATATCCCACATCCATCTCCAGCCACAGCTTTGAATTCAACTTCATCTGCACCTGCACTTGGCACAAATTCGTACTGTATACATATTTATTATAATAGTAAATAATAATAATTTCAATAAATAAACAAACAGCGTTCATATTTTTCGGACTTATATTTGTATTTATATTAATCGTACTTAAAATTATTAAGTTTGTGCTACCAAGTAAGCACTGGTATAATATTTCAATTGCCTCTTACTTTTTTACAAGCCTGGTCATACTATATTGATCTCGATTGAATATAAAATTAATAGAAATACCTTCCTTGGATTATAATATTTCTGTCTACATTTAATGGGGAATTTGGAAGAAAGAGTAGTCATGTTGTCCAAATAAGTATGACAAGAATATGAAGATTTTGTTTTAGTAGTTATAATTTTAATAGATTGAGATTAACAAATTGATGACTACAAAATTAAAAAAGAGTATAAATAAAATTGAAACTTTCTTGAGAATGTTATATATTATAAAGTATAATAGCTTAATGATAACACACGAGCTTAAGTTTTAAGTTAAATATCATTTACTGAATAGCATCAGTAATGGTTTCAGTGCATGTCCTTTTCGTAGTGCATCCGAGTTGTGCTCTCACAGCGTTCTCAACATGTTGCCAAGTCATTAACTTGAGCCTGTTTCTGGCTTTTGTAGCATGTTTGTGATTACACGAGTGGGGGAACTCGCATGGCAGTGCCGTCGGGGAAGTGGGAGGGGGTAGGGAACCGGGGGAGGGGGTCCTGCGAGCAAGGACTGCAACAAAGGCGGCCAGGACATGGACATGTCGTTGCTGTTGTTGCGCCTTGAGCGTTTGGGCCATTTGAAAATTGCAGCAGGGTTGCAAGCAACCACTTCGAGCCAGAATCTCCCCCTCCATTTCCTATCCCCTCCGCCCTCCCTATTATTTTTTTGCCAGCGCCATTGTCTCGCCTTTTCTGTGTGAGTGTGTGTGTGTGTGTGTGTGTAAGTGTGTTTTGCTCATGTGCGAATTTTTTATGGCTCGAAGAAAACAACCCCCAAGTGGCAGACACGCTGGTGTGCGTGTGGCAATGTCAACTGGGGCGTCTACAAGCTGCTAAGTGCACTTGCCCAGCATTTCTTTGGCCCCTCCCCAACCCCCTTGAGTGTTTGCCCCACCCCCACGCTTTGCCACACACACACACACACATGTGTCGTTGCTTTTTCTTTTAGCCATGAATACATAATGCCCTGCACTTGAGGCGGACTCTTTTCTTTCTGCCTTCCTCCGAGTGCGACAAAGGCGAGCGGCTAATTCAGATGCCAGATTCCAGATTCCCGGCACCGAGGGTCCGTCAGATAAATGCATTCTCTAAATGTTGCAAAAAGGATACCCCCAACCGCCTTCCCTCCCACTCGTGAGCAAATGGATACCCCTTTTGCAAGGATCTTTGTGTGAGTTTCTTCCGTTGCCAGTCGGCCGGAAAGTAATTAAAATCTGCGCCTAAGTGCAGCTCTTCAAAATGCTGCTGTGAAACAAAAAAATGTGCAAAATTGAGTTGCAGAAATATGAAAGAAAAGCGTTTTGAATAGCCTGGTTGAGGTCCTTAAATCGGACAGAAATAGTAAACACTTTTCTCGTACTGAACGACGACACCTAGCGTCTGCTTTGTGCAAACTAGGAAATAAATCTGTATAAATAGAAAAAAAGTAACAATCATTAAAATAATATGCGTGTCCTTTCAGAGCCCATCAGCGCCCTCTGTTGGCAGGAAAAACTGTTCCCATTGCTTTAGCACGGACACATTGTGAGTGGGAATGGTTTCAATGAGGGGAAAAACATGGAAATTATCTGAAAGGGGTTGAAAACATAGGATTACGTTGCCAAAGAAAAAACATGGAATAACATACACTCGAACTCAAACTTAAGCTCAAACTCAAACTCAAACTCACCCTCTACTCAAAATTACCCCTCCAAAGAAATGACTCAAAGCAAAAAAGTAACTCAACTCAAAAGGAGCAGAGGGGAACATAATTGAGTCGAATCAGGTTGAGCGAAGCAGCCCCTGTCAATTTTCGTACATAGGCATTACTTCTATGTGTTTTTTATTTCTGGCAGCTGTGCTAATTAATCCAAGCTAGTAATTGAACAGAATAATTGAAAACGTGTTTATGTACTTGGAAATGGGAAAAATGTATGAGCAAATACGTAACAAATAAATTTTAAATGTCCCGTATATATATTTCTTATTAAAAATTAAATTATTTAATTAAACGCTAAACAAATTTAAATGATGTATTTTTTAGTTTTGTTTTGATTTTTTCCTTGTTAATAATTTAATCGTTTTGTCATTATTTTATAAATATTCAGTACTTTAGTAGTGTTTAACAAAACTACAGATCCAGAAAATTATTGTTAATAATAATATCTGTATGTTACGTATTTTGAGAAGTAAGTTCTCTTCATAAAATTGATGGTGTCCCACAATTTAGTTTAGTTTGGTAAATTACATTTCATGTAATTTTGCTCAAACTCACAATAGATTGACAATATATATTTTTCTGCAGAAACTTTGCAATGTTTTCAATTCAAATTCTTTTCTATTTCCCCCATATTATTAAATACAGAAACTAACTGAAAGTTTCACGGGGACCACGGCAACGTAAGCGGCGAAGAATGTTGAGAGTTTTCAATATGATGCAAACATTTTCTACATTTCCCAAACTTTTTTTTGCCACACGCAGCTGCCGGGATAAAGTTTTCCTTTGGCTGGCGAGCGATAAAAAAAAACCCTGAAGAGATTCTCCATCATCATTTGAAACATCATTGTTCGCTCCGGGCACAAGTTCAATTCTCAAATGCAAGCTGCAAATGAGCAAAAAATTGTCAGACCAACGGAGTGGAGGAAAACTGTGAAAATTGAAATGAAAATTACCCATTGTGGCATCGGCAGCATTTCAATTTGAGCTGCCATTTTGCACGTGCCCAGAGAAGGCTTCCTTCTGACCCAGGCCCTCCCCTCCCCCCCTCCCCTTATTTCCCCCTAATGGTCCATGGCTGGTTGAATTTTCACCATTTTCCCACCCACAATACCAGCACCCGCTCTTCGGTAATCTTGGCAAATGCCTGGGAGCCTTGCATTTTATTCATGGCCTCCGTCCACGTCCGACTTTATTAGTTATTTTCCGCTCAATTTGTGCTCCTGGGGAGGCAGGATAACAAGAAAAATTATTTTCATTTCATTCAACACATTCATTATGGTCCAGAGTAGTGAGTCCATTGCCACACCTTCACCTTCACCGCCTCTTCTATAAAAGCAAGGCATTAAAAAATCAATCCAACTCGATTTAATTAGGAATAATTAAATTGACTTCTTATACATGTTTTGGATACTTAAATAAAATACCTAAGCTGAATTCAAAATTAAAAACGGACAACCGAAAGATTTACTTGCAAGAAGTCTTTTAAACGAAGAATCTTTTGCAGAAAAAAATACCTAAGCTGAATTCAAAATTAAAAACGGACAACCGAAAGATTTACTTGCAAGAAGTCTTTTAAACGAAGAATCTTTTGCAGAAAATATTTTTGTTAATATATTTTGTATTCAAAATCATACGAACTCTTTTAAACTGTTTATCAGTAACTAAATTTATGTTGGTTTAGTTTTTCGTTCAGTGTGGCACACAATTTTCGCAGGTGTCAAGATGGCGATATCTTTTGTTGCAATTCATGTTGATTAACGGCCGGTGAAGGTCGAGTCCTGTTTTCCCGAGTCCCCCTCAACATTTTCCATTTGGGAACCTTCTCAGCTGGTGGCAGAAAGTGAGAAAAGTTCACAGCTAATTACATTGGTTAGTTAAAAGTTTAGGCACAATTATCAACACTTTCCAAGGCGCGACATGATGGGACATAAAAAAAGTTTCCAGAAACGCCCTCAGCCGCCAGCTATATAAAACCAATGCGACAGACTGACCACAAAACAGTTCCAATTCGAAATTTTAAAGAAAAGCTGCCGGAAAAATAAATATAAAATGGAAAAGGCAGTGGATAACTCAGTCAGGACCTTTATGGACATGATGCGAGTGCCAGTGCTGTTTTACAGGACCATTGGCGAGGATATCTACGCATATCGATCCACAAATCCTTTGAAATCGCTTCTGCTCAAGATCTACCTATATGCGGGATTTATCAACTTCAATTTACTTGTGATCGGTGAGCTGGTGTTTTTCTACAAGTCATTGCAGGACTTTGAAACCATTCGTTTGGCCATTGCCGTGGCTCCCTGCATTGGATTTTCACTGGTTTCCGATTTTAAGCAAGCCGCCATGATGACTGGCAAGGAGTCGTTGATAATGCTGCTCGAGGACCTGGAGGACATGCATCCGAAGACCCAGCAAAAACAGAAAGCATACAAATTGTTGGACTTTGAAAAGACTATGAAACGTGTGATCAATATCTTCACGTTTCTCTGCTTGGCATATACGACCACATTTTCATTTTATCCGGCAATTAAGGCCTCGGTAAAGTTTAATTTTCTTGGTTACGACACCTTTGATCGGAACTTCGGTTTCCTCATCTGGTTTCCCTTCGATGCCACGAGCAATAATTTAATTTACTGGATCACATACTGGGATATAGCTCATGGAGCTTATTTAGCGGGCATAGCTTTTCTCTGCGCGGATCTTCTGCTCGTTGTGGTCATTACACAGATCTGTATGCACTTCAGTTATATATCCCGGCGTTTGGAGGAGCATCCTTGTAAATCGGACGAGGACAGAGAGAATATAGAGTTTCTCGTTGGCATTATCAGGTATCACGACAAGTGTCTTAAGTAAGTACAGAAAATGCTCTTTAATTTCCGGAACTTTATTTATCTTACTTATAGACTCTGCGAACGCGTAAACGATATTTACAGCTTCTCGATCCTCTTAAATTTCTTGATGGCCTCGATGCAGATATGTTTTATAGCCTTTCAGGTCACCGAGTCCACCGTTGAAGTTATCATTATCTACTGCATATTCCTGATGACCTCGCTAGTACAAGTATTTTTAGTGTGCTACTATGGCGACATGTTGATTGCCGCGGTAAGAATAATATACAAATCTAGTATTCATGCCACTCAACTTTGTGACCTTTTTAGAGCCTGAAAGTGGGCGATGCTGCCTACAATCAGAAGTGGTTCCAGTGCAGCAAAACCTATTGCAGCATGTTGAAGCTACTAATTCTGCGAAGTCAGAAGCCCGCTTCAATAAGACCGCCTACACTTCCACCCATTTCCTTGGTTACCTATATGAGGGTGTGATTAAAACAATTTAAATTAATATTTTAGTATTTTATAAACGCTGAACTATTCCCTAGGTCATCAGCATGTCGTATCAGTTTTTTGCCTTACTGAGGACCACATACAGCGATAATTGAATAATCACAGTGCCTCTCTCCGCGCTTCTCAAAGCATCCACTTGGTGGGAATCGATTCGTTAATAGGGATTTTCAACATCTCTTCAATATTCTCCCCTACACCGCTCTTCCCTGCAATTCAACGCCAATCGCTACATCTGAAGCATTCGAACTTAATGACGCCCTCGACACGCTTTGATAATATTTAATTAAAAATCGCATTTAAAATTAATAAGCTTAAATGGAGACCAATAGCGCCTGGCCGAGCACAAAAATCCGGCAGCAGTAGAGGCACACGAGGCAAACAAAATAATATTTTTTTCAAAAGGAATATTACAGCACCGTCCACACAAAAAAAAGCGCCAAGGACCAGGGCGCAAATAAAAGCAGAAATGGGGGTCCCATCCCCCAAAAAAACACTCCCGCTCTGACCTGGTAATAAAAGGAACAACATAAAACGCAATCACAATCATCGACAATAATCTGGCAGCAACAACCAACAAAAAAATGCTTATTATAAAATTTCACAGTTTTTCAATGAGCAAAAATGAAGCGGAGCGGGCGTAAAAAAAAAATGGTCGAGAGTGCGGGGGTGGAATGGCAATGGCTTTTCAAAATCATAATGGCAGCTAGTAACAAGAGTTTTGTGTGCAAATAAGTGGGCGAGGGTGGTATGAAAATTTGTTTTGCCATGGCGGCCAACCGATCAGAGTCGGAGCTGGCAAATACCACGTCAGCAGGAGACGTCCTCCGTCTCCACAGCCCTGTACACAGAGAAAAAAGAATGAGAAGTGCATCTGAAATAAACTGAAGTCCCATTAATGCAATTTTAAACTATTCGATTCGACATTAAAACACTCAAACTGAATAAAATAGTTTGAATAAGTTTAAAATGTATTTTTTTTAAGTTAATCAACTAAAACGTTAGTAAAATGTTTCCAATTTTTTAAAACTTCACTTAGTTCAATTTAATTAATGCGTTAAACACATTCATTAAATCATTTTTTATATCCATTGTTAAAAATAAGTTGATTTTATAAGGTACTTTAATTTATTAAAGCTTCTCAGAAATATCAATACCTTTTACTAATTTTTAAATAAGTTTTTTAATATTTCTTTTATTTTATATTAAACAACAACAACTATAATTCTCCTTTCGGTGTATAATTCCAATGTGCACGTCACGCGCGACCACTTAAAAAACCTTGGCCACCCGGCCCCCAACCACCCACCGCTCCTTCGCCACCCCCTCTTCTTAGCAAGCCCCCCTGCCTTGAGCTCGTTGCATTTTCCCTTAACAGGCCGTTAGTCGTTATTATTTTGGTCCATTGACGCTGCGGGCCATTGCTATATAGTGTAGTATACACAAGGCGAAGAAGAGAGTGCTGTGTGTATATAATGGCTCCTGCACATAAAAAAGGGAAAGGCGAGGAGAGTAGAGGTCCTTATGTACCACCCCCAGGATATGGACTCAAACTCGAACTCGAACTCGGACCATCCACCCCCGGTGACGTTGATGTCCCGTATTGGAATCGCGTTCGTTTCGTTTTGGTCCTGCTCTTGGTCCTTGGTCCTTGTCCTCCTCCTCCTTCTCATCACCACCATCACCATCACTATCACCATCATCATCATCATCATCAGGAGCAGCAGCAGCAGCAGCAGGACGAATCTTTGGATGGGGGTGCACTCTGAACCACCAGGAGGGCAATTTTTATAATTTTAGTCTCGTTTGCTTTGAATTTACTTTTTATTTTCCTATTTTTTTTCCAGGGCAGCGCTGTTTCTTCTTTTCAAGCTTTAGCTTCCCTTGGCCTGACTCCTCCCCTTCTTTGAGGACTTTGTCCTGGCGGGTGGATGCTCCTCTCCCCAGCCCCCTTTTCTTCGGCTTGTTTCTTTTCTAACATTTCTTGTCAGCCAGCGGAGACAGACAGAGACAGACAGACACGGACAGAGACGGACTGACTGCGGGAGTGAGCCAGATTTACTTATGGCCTTTGTATTGGTTTCCGTTGACGCTTTCAACTACCATCAGCGAAATGCAAAATGGCGTTGACTGTATTGATTTTTGATTTATTGCCGATTTGCCTTGTTTATGTCCGGATTGCGGGCCCACTGTACAGGGCCAACAAGGCGGCTAATGTCGGGCTAATGATTAGTCATCGACGAGGCAACTGTACTGGGTATGCAACATATACTTTAAGATATAGAGATCTAGAAACTACATATCTTTGATCGATTGAAATTAATGTCCATTTAATGTTTAAATGTCCTACAACTTGGATTGCAATTTAAAAATTCACAACATTTTTGGTTCAATTTAATAAAATAAACAAATTGTATTAAAAGAAACATTATTGGATAACAAAAGTGCAATTTGTTGGTATTGAGATGCCTTTTGCTGACCAAATTATGAATTAAAACAGTAAAGTAAAATGTTTGTAAAAATAGAAAAATATTGTTAAAATTTACTACAAAAAACACTACTGACACTACAAATATTTAAACATAAAATTTAAATTGAAATCGGTTTCTGTTAAATAAAAACATTTCGTATGTCATATAATATGACTTTGATTTCAATCAATTACGCAAATTATCTGTTTTGTTTTCCCTTTCATCTATGCCTTTATTCCCAGTGCAAAGTCACTGCCTGATGTCCTTTTATCGAACATTATTTCTTACCCATTGCGTCCACTCCATTTGCTGCTCATATTTCCTGTCGCATTTTCCCCCTTCATTCGGGCAAACATTTCGTTTTGTCCTTTTCCAGGAATATCAGGAGGAGTGGAAAAAATTCGCCGGACACAAACTACGCAAATACGTGAAGAAATCTTTTTTTATTTTGTACAGCATTCAAGCTCATCAGCTTTTAATTTTATGCTCTTCCCGGGCTCCCAGAACCCGGGATTTCTCGGAAGAGTACATGACTCTGGACTCCAGGACTAAGGCTAAGACTCAGTGTCGTGGCAACCGGCGCTAATGAGATCCGAGCGAAGAGCCCAGGCAACTTTCCATTACGTTGAGTTTTTCCAGCTTTTTTATTCGCCCCACTCCTTGTTGTGTTTCGTCGAGAAGCTTTGTGCGATGGCTCGCCATTTTCCCCATAGGACAGCAAATGTCCTTTTGGCTTGTTAAGAAAATGTCGCTCTGCAAAGCCTGATAGGAGGGGGGCGGAAAATTCAAGGGAAAATGAGGGGGTCACGACTGACTAGTTGACGTTGTTGTGTTTCCTCCGTCGCGCTCTTAAATTAGAAAAATGTAAATTTATTTTAATTAAGATAAATAAGTAACAAAATGTTTTATGGAAATTACGTTAACAAGGCGTGGACAAGAGGGTGACGGGTGGCTTGGATGGTCAATGGGTGGGGTGGTGTTTGGTGGCACTTTCGAACATTAGTGGACAAGACGAAGGACGACAGACGCGGGGACCGCAGGACAACTGCTTTAGCATGCAAATACACATAATCAGCAGGCAGCAGGCAAACAGCTAACAACAAGCAACAAAACCAGAGGTTTCTCCCCCCCCTGAAAACGTAATTTTATTTTTTTTCCCCCATATTTGTACACTCCGCCATTTTATAGGGCTTTGTTGGAAAGTTTTTTGCCGACTGTTGTTCGTTTCTCGTTTCTCGCATTTTTATTAACATCGATCGATGAGTGATTCGCGTTTATTTGCATTGATTATTACCCATGTACACACACTTTCAACAGGCACTGTTATCGACACTCGTCTGATGGTGGATGTCGATGCTGAAACTTTTAATTGAGTGCCCCCAACCAAGGGCTTACAAATTAATAAAATATTTTTCCGTTGTTCTTGTTCAAATTAATCAGAGAATTAACAAAGCAAAAATAATGTTTATTTATGGGAAAAGTTTGAAAAGTATAATTGCGATTGACGGCCGTTTTTTTTCTGTTTTTGTAAATTTATTCAAAAGGGGTCGAGTAAAAAGTTACATGCAATATAGCATTTTTGAATAAAAATTCAAATTTAAGCTGGGCTAGGTTTCACAGCCAAAGTATCGTTCTATGATGTTGAGGGCTAACTGATAGATTTGCACATCTTCGTGGGTCTGAAGTATCTCGATTTTGGCCAAACCGCCACACTCGTCGATGGTTTGGGCCACCTTATCCGCAAGGGATTGGGAAACCTCGAACATATTTCTAAGGCCATTTAGCACAGTCCGTGAAAGTTGTTCAAACTGGCTGGTGAGCAGATCACAGAATGGCTGAAGGACATCCCCTTCAATAAGAACCAGTAACTGTTCCTCATTGCAATTGATTGTGAGATTACTAATGACCATAGCAGCCACTGCTTTTTCATGCATTTCTCCCCTGCCTAAAATCTCAGTTATTTTAGCCAACAGTCCCACGTTTATGAAGGCCTGCACCCACTTCTGACTTCGGGAACTGGCCCTAAGGATGAATAGAATCTCCTCGCGCAATTCCGTGTCGGAGAAGAAGGCCAAGGTTGGAAAATACGACAAGGGATCGAGGCCGAGAACTTTCTGGCACTGCTCATCGTTTCCGGACAGAATATTTCCCACGGCACGCATTGCCGCCCTTCGCACTGTGTCCTCCTTGTCACCCATCAAGGATATCAACTTGCCCAGCATTCCAGTATCTATAACCATTTGGATCTGATCCTGACTGCCGTCGGCCAAAAAGCTGATGGTCCACAAAGTGGCTTTGAGTATTTCCACGTCCTCGTGATGGATCAAAACATTGAGTGTCGGCAGGATCTGATCAATAGTTTCTGCCGATATCGGTGGATCGTAGTGACGGCATAGATTCCCAATGGCCAAGATCACACTTCTTAGAAATTGGTGGGGCATGTCCTGTTGGACGAGGGAGAGCAAGGGCGGAACCACGCCCAACCTGATGACAAAGTCGCGTAGCAAAGGACCATCGCCTATTATGTTACCCAAAGCCCAAACGGCCTGTTCACAAAGATCCAGATCAGGCGATTTCAGAAGCTCCAGCAAATATGGTACTGCCCCAGCCGCCACAACCTAAAAGGGGATTGGGTTAAGTTAATGCCAAATCCTGTTCATTCAAATCAAAACTCTACCTGGGTGGTGTGTTCCGAGTTGCCAGAGGCTAAGTTGCTCAGTGACCAGGCGGCTTCATATCGCAGACTTTTATGACCTTTTTCCTTGAGGCACTCCACCAAAACTGGCAAAACCCCATTTTCGATCAGCTCATTGATGGGTGGACTCTCTGAGCACACCAGCAAGCGGATCTCCTGGACGGCGGACAACTGCTTCTGTGGTTTAGTGGCATCTCCCGCTGCCTGAATAATCATCATTAGATAGGGTAATTCCGATTTCAAGTAAATATTTAATCGATTGGCCGGCATAATATATCTTATTTTTCCCTTATCCGTTTGAAATGCGCAAAATTTGGGACTTAAAACTTATGTCATATGTAAGTTATTTAAAAAAAACGGCCTACTGTGATGTGCACTATATTTAATGGTTATAAAACTCTTAAATTCAACATACAAGCGTATGTTTGTAAAATCATATGTTTAATAATTTCATTGTGAATACGCGAGAAAAATATATTCAACTTTTATATAATCTAAAGCAGCTTAAACCTTTAAAATGTGCTTTTAAAAGTCGTCAAATTTAAAAATAAAATAAAAATTAGGTTTTATTTTGCAAGTGACGGTAAGTGTCAAAAAATATTTAATATATAAATAGTTTTTTTTTATTTTGTTCATTAGAACCCAATTAAACTTACTGTTTTAAGTGTTGTGCTTATACCTAACCATTTTCTACCTGCCATTGGGGGTATAATTAAGATTTTGGCTTCTTGTTACTGGTCCTCAAGTGCGTTCTAATTTTCTTGGCTGTAACGTAACTGCTGGCGAAAATGCAACGACAACCACTTGGACACCTTCCTCGCATCCCCTCCGGCACACCAAAGTCTACTGCTTAGCCTGCAGCATACTTTTCGAGCTTAATGGCTTAAATATTTACTCGTAATTAAAATTCAGCTTTATGCACATCACATCAAGTGCATAATCACAGACCAAACCAGACCGGGCAAGGCCATTGAGACAATTTTTTTCGAGCGCCAAGAGTTGCCAACGCCCCGTGCGGCTGACACTGCCTGCAAAAGTGGATGCCCAAGGAGCTGGCGATGCAGATGGAAGCGGGGGGGCAGTGGGATGGGCAACCGGAGTGGCAGGATCAGAGGGAACAGGAGCAGAAGCGGCAACCATAGCTGACATTAGCCGTGGGGCGGAGTAAGCAACTGAAGATTATGTCGCCCCCAAAGTAAATGAAACTTATGCAAAAATTACACAAGTCAGTTGACTGGCATCTACACAAACGCACTGGAAAAAAAGTATATATGAAATTGAAATATGAAATACTTTGGCTGGACAGTTATACAACAACATTATTAACAAATTGCATCAATTGGCATTAATATTAAGGTTTAATATGGTATCCTACAGCTAATTTTTGTATTAATAACAAATAATATTAAATATAAACAAACACTAAAATTATAAGCAAATGATTATATTAGAAATATATTAAAAAAGAGTTAACTCAACTTATTGCAAAATTTGAATTTCCGGTATCTAGCACGTTTTTTTGATAATCTTTTTTTAGTGAAAAATAAATTTGAAAAATGTATTACCTAACTAAGAAAATTAAATTATATTAACCAACACAAAGTTTAAATTCTGACAACTTACAAAAATCGTTGGTTAAAAATATAACTCATTTTAGCAGAATAAAATTGTTTTCGATTTTCCAGCGTTTTATTTATTATTTAATTTAACAAACACACGGTTTCTTTCGGTGCACTTCCCCTCTGAACTCGGCTCCCTCTGCGGCTGACTATCCACTCGAGGCGGCGTCAGCACTGGTCTCCGTTCATAATTAAAACCCGTGCTGAATGAAATCGCATAAAATGAATTAAACATTTTAAGGCTATTTAGGGGCGTAGGTAGGTGTAAGCGGGGGCATGGCTGCTATTGCTCTTGGGACAATTGCAGCGTTAAATGAAATATTAATGGCATGGATGTCGGCAAGGAGCGACTCGGCTCTTTGGCTCTAATAAAGCGATGTTCCAGGACGAAGGAACGAGGGATTCAGCATAGAGCAGGGAAAGCTTTTAATGATATATATATTTTCTTTTTTTTCCAACTTCTACCGCTGTTGTTTTGCACACAAGCACACACACACACACACACACACTGAGTTTTTCAAGTGCATCATTATTTGTTGCAAATGGAGGCTGGCGGGATAAGTAATAAAGGAGAAAGGGTGTTTCGGAGGCTGTGCAAATTCAATGCGCTGCATTTTTAATCCCGACGCAAGGTTTTTCTCCTCTTTTCAATGCCTCAGCTCAAGTGTATGCCACACCCCCTTTTTTTCCGTCGCCCTGCACTTCATATGCAAACATTTATGATGACGTTGAAAGGGGCGTTGGGCGGTGGACGGTGGGCGTGGGGCAGTGGGCGTTGAGGGGGCGGGGCCGCTGTGGTTCGTACAAAGGTAGACCGCCCAGCTTTTGTTTTTTCCACCATGGAGGCATGTGTGTTTGTGTCGAGTGGAGGAGGCCGCATAATGGGATGTCTGATGAAGCTCTTAGTCGGCATAATTACTTTTTTTTTAGCGCTCGAGTCAGCAAAGCAAATGATACTCTATAAGGATTCCTCTGGGCCACCTCAGACCCCACAAGTGCCCCTCAAATGACGTTACAATCAATCGGAGGCGGTTCCAAATTAAAGGACTAGGTCAAAAAGGCCGCCCCAAAGTGCCACTCAATGGAATCAAAGGTAGATTTGTTCAGTGCCACAGCAGTGTGGTAATTAGGAGATATGGATACTTCTATGCCACAGAAATCATCATTTTTAAAAAAAAAAAATTTAACCATAACTATTTATATTGAAATTCAAATTGAGATTGAATTTTTATGAGAAATTTGTTGAAGATGATTCCATTTCGAAATAATTTACCCCGTAGGTCTTTATCAGTCTCACAAATTTTAATTTTAGTTTGGGAGTGGACTATTTTTTCTTATTTAGTATTCTTCTTCACTTAACCAAGTTATGCACAGCTGGTAATTTGCTTAAACTTAAATTAAAATTTTTGTTTCAGGCCTGTATTATTATGAATAAAAATAATAAATGAAAAGTTACCTCTCATCCTTAAGAATAGAATAAAGAAACAGTTTCAGCATGCTATTGTCACTAATGAGGAAGTATTAGCAATCGATTTAAGAAGAAAACGAGAAATGTCAGCAGGAGGTGCCCGACCACTTGAGTGCCAATTAAAAATGTGTAAATAATTTCTACGACAATTACGGGCCAGACAAAGGACCTCATTCGAATATGGGTTTCCAGGGGAGCACTCACTCGCAAGAAAGGCGAACCTGTAGCCCGGACCACCGAAGGAAGTGAATTTATGGCAACTGCATTAGCATAGAATGAGCAGGGTTAAGGATTGTCGAGTGGAGAGGCCCAAGAAAAGGACCGCTGGCAAATCATAAGCATAAATCGTGGGAAACGACGACTCCGGCGGCGGCAATATTCAAATTAGACGGAATGTCACTTCACAGGACACAATCCCCGTCGAAGGATAACGCGGTATTAGGAACTAAGGCAACAGTTTTGTCAACGCGGATCGGATCGGAATGGATCGGGGAAAGGGTGAAAGGGTAAAAAAAATAAAGGTGAAAGATGAATGCCGCGTAATGAATGGAGATCGGTTGGTGACTGGCGTTCGCCGATTGTGTTCTCACAATGTGGCGATCATCTCTGTTTTCTATTTTCCGTGTTTGGGACTGTGATTGCGATTGTGTCAAGGGTCCAGAGGATGCTGCTCTACTTCCCCTACTTCCACTACCGAATTTAATTAATTCACCCGAAACTTGTCCAGCTGCATGCCGAAAAAGGGGTTTAATTTATTCCTTCTCCCGGGATATTCATATGCGAAATGGCTCAAATATTTTCATAAAAAATACCACAATAATTCGTCAAGGAAACCGGTCGAACCGGTTCCATATTATTTACTGTTATCCTTTTATATTCGGGCATCCTCATCTAAACAAAGTTAAAGCTTAGAGGTAAAGGTTCATGAATTAAGAAAACAACCGAAAAGTTTATTGTTTACAATTTTGTTTAAAAATATTAGTGAGAAAATAAGCAAAGGGAAACATCGAGATAACTTATCTTTAAGACACTGTTTTGTAAAAATAAATTTTTCTTCAAAAAAATTTGAACATGTCAGGTTTTTTGTGAATACACTTAAAGTATTCAAAGAAATATAAAGAACTATGAACTTATGCCATGATTGTAAGCACAAAAATGTCTTTGTCTTTATTTGTTTATTTTTAATGAAATATTTTATCTATTGTTTTTGCATTTACATGTTTGGTCCGTAAAAATGCAGTAAAATTTTATTTCTATCGCAAACCAAAGTTCTACCAGCAGCTGGCTGAAATTCTCCATTTTTGTGGCAACTTAATTTACGCTGAAATCCATTTGACTTTATCTGACATTCCAATCAAGTCGTCTAAAAATTAAAAAAAAAATTATAATAGAACGTGGAAAAAAACGAGAAACTTGCCAACAGTCACGTCGTACAACTTTTGCTACAAATTTTTTTCCAGAATCCGTTTATTCACAATTTTTTTTGAGGATTTTTTTTTGTTTTCGGTGAGGCGTTGATGGGGAGGGGAGTTCCTCCTGGGCTCTGCCGATGATCGTGGGGTGGCACTCGGCTAATGGCCAAATGCCCACCCCTCGCAGCTTCCGCGTACTGAAATAATTCAATTGTTCGTGTCGCGCAGAAAGCGACGCGGAAAAATTAAAATAGTGAGGAGCACAACACCATAACACAAAAAAAAACAAGAGAAAATGCCGAAAAAAAAACGCTCTCCCTGACAACAATATTGCGCTGCGTACTTATGGTTTATATAGGTGAATATATGTACCTCATGGCAACGGGTTCCTCCCTTTACCCCCCCCCATCTCTTTACGCACATAATTTCCGGTCGGTTTTTATTAAAATCTTTTTTCACATTTTTTTGTTCATTTGTTTTTTTTTTCCTTTTTGGAATCACATGCTGACATATTCTCTTTTAACAATAAAGGACCCAAAAAAGGAAGAAAAAAAACAGAAAATTTGTAATTTTATAGTCAAAGTGTAACAATTTTTTTTGTCCTCCTTACGGAGTGCCCTGTTCAGTGGAAATGAAATGAAATTAAAATAAAAAAGCGCTCACTTTATGCTCTATAAATTTTAATGTAAATGGATTTTGGCCTGTTGTTGCCTCTGTTGTTTCGCTTGGCTCACGCTTGTTAGCCTAAAAGCGCAGTGCCACTGACAAGCTGTCGGCTGCATTTAGTGTTATAAATTTCAACTCAAAGTAGCGGACAAAAAATCGGATTTTAATGCCTGCTCTGGTC